ACTTTGGGAATTCATTGACCCGATACGCTTGTAAGTTCATTATTTATGTAAATGGTTCATCTACATTGAAAGTTTGTCTACATTAACGATGGATTACACTGGAACGCTAGGATAGATTTTTTCATCGTCTTCGCTGTGAACAAACACATCCGATGACGAGTTCTTCGTAATTAGGCCACAACCTGACAGAGTTGAGTAGCAACTTTTCTACCCATGGAATTGTCAAATCGACCTCTATTCAGCTGAAATGCAGGATTTTCTGAGTTTTCTGGTGGATTCGGACTTGACACTTGCCGTTGAAGTCGATAAAAAGCAGAGAGGAATGGTAAATATTCCCAGTAGAAGGTATCAAGTCAGTTCTGACCTACTAGTAGACGCTTATATTTTCTCCACCACTTATGTTTTAGTGGTCGGGCACAGTGTACCTCGAATAACTATTTGCCTCATCCATGAGTTCCACAGCTGAACAAAGCTGCTGGAATTCCGTCTCGTAAAAATCAATTCTAGCAGCTTCCAATATGGGTGTGGACTTTAATCAGACTGACACTGGTGTAATAAACTAGCATATAGTAACGAGGAGCCAGTGCATACGATCTGCTTTACGAGAAACGGAAATTTCCTCCGTTTGTTCAACGCTAACATATCCTTTTTTAAGCATGGCCAGTTGCTAGGCCACCAAAAACCAGAGTGCCTGTCTGAGAAAATCCCTACTCTCTCTACGCTTAAAAGTATCGCGTGCTGACTGATGTCGGTCACAGCTCAGCTCTGCTTATAGCAATCTCAAAGTAGCTGTTGGAAGCCGCAATGTTAAAACTACCTCAACAAAATGATAGCAGTGTGAGTTTTTGCACAGGAACCTAGACTCTGCAGGTTTCATTGCTCCTATTACAAGAGTTTTGGACTTGTTGCAGTGATAATAAATGCTCCACCATTCTTTCCTCAACATAAACGGAACAATAACATCTGAAAGATACTCTATTGTTTCTTAGCCTAATGCTCATTCAAGGTATACAGTCATACTACTGAACTGAATCAAGTAATAGCCTTCCACACAATCCACCCACAATGATGTGCTGAATCGATTGTGGCATTGATCGTTTCTGAGCACGCAGAACTACTGCTTAGCCAATCGTAACAATATTTATGACAAATTTGAAATGGATAGGGTGGGAACTTACAAGATCATTTAGCCTTCTAGGAATCACCACCGGCTCTAGTCTGCTAGCTTCAGAGGTCGGGCAGGAAACGAGCCTGGATCTGAGAGAGGGTTGTCATCTGTCTGAGTCAGTAGTATGTACACGCAATGCCATTCTTGTCTACTTTCGATGATGTATGGAAGACTGCTCTGGACTGCAGAGCTGATATTCTCACAACCTGCCCCCAAACGTCGCACTATCGCAACAGTGGGTTGAGAGTACCGCTACTTAATGCAGAGCACTTGGCGAACCAAGTGATAATGAGGAATTCGGTTCCGCGAAAGATGGACGCTAGCTTTCAATCTGTACCAGCTAATCAATATGCGATTACTGGTCCACTAGACAAATGGTGCGAATTTCCTGTCCTAAACGCCTGAGCTAAAACAGCTGTGTTAAGGTATTTCAGGCATCTGAGGCATAGCCCCAAAGACAAAACGACACTGCTCCAATTCTTACGAAAATGATAAGCACAGACCAACCTGCGGGGTCGTGAGTGCTCCACTGGCCGCATCATAAAGTTCACATTTGTGTGAATAATTATCCACGCTTGATATCTCGTTACGTTGGAGAGAGCTCAATGTCAGTTTGTTGATAGGATGGTGGTAGTCTTCTATGCAGAACATGTAAAAATAATTTTGTACCGGCTCATCAGATATTTTCGAACTGTTGAAGTAACCTTAAAAGGTTCGTTGAAAGATATGTATAATATCGGGGAGCTGAATGGTATAGGTAGAAATTCGTCACATCTAAACTCACTCAGATAGCCGTCTCACGCCCGTAAAATCACCGTATCCGCATTTCGTCCTTTCCGTAATCGTCAGTAGTGCGCAGTCCATCGAAACCTTGGTAGGGCTCGAACACGCAGCTCGAGTGCTGCCAGTCCGTAGTTGAGACCACTGAGCTACGGAAGACGGCAACGACCATCGTGAATAAGTTACTAGATGTGATATAGCGCCGCGCACTATCCACTGACTTGCACGTTAATGAGGTGCAGAGAACAGGGTAGCCCCTCATCAAGCGACGAACGTACCAAACTTAAGCCACCAATTAACCTATGGCATTATCAGCAGTTTGGTCTGCGTACTGATTACAGTGGAGTAGTAGGGGGCGTTGAATGGTCTAGGTAGAAATTCGTCACATCTAGACTCACTCAGATAGCCGTCACACGCCCGTGAAAGCACCGTACCAGCCTTTCGTCTTTTCCGTAATCGTCAGCAGTGCGCAGTCCATCGGACCCCTGGTAGGGCTCGAACACGCAGCTCGAGTGTTGCCAGTCCGTGGTTGAGACCACTGAGCTACGGGGGACGGCAATGACCATGGTGAATAAGTTACTAGATGTGATATAGCGCCGCTCACTATCCACTGACTTACACGTTACTGCCGTGCAGAGGACAGGGTAGCCCCCTCACCAAGCGACGAGCTTAACAAACTTAAGCCGCCAAATAACTTATGGCATTATAAGCAGCGCCGTATCACATTTAGTAACTTATTCACGATGGTCCTTACCGTCTCCCGTAGCTCAGTGTTCTCAACCACGGACTGGCGATAGTCGAGTTGCTGGTTCGAGCCCTACCAGGGTCCGATAGAATGCGCACTACTGACGATTCCCGAAGGATGAAACGCACGTACAGTGTTTTTCCGGGCGTGTGACGGCTGTCTGAATGAGTCTAGATGTGATGAATTTCTGCCTATATGTATAGTAGGTTCTAGGTCAGATGACATATCATGCATCCTGATAAGCACTAGACGACTGTTTTGTCCTGACGGGACTCGTCAGTACTGCGGATCTTCATCCAGAGTGAAGCCAGAAGTGCTAGTCACCAAGCGTGGAACCCTGTGACATTTGGTACAACAACACGTCACAAATGAGTCATTGTTCAGTTTCAGCCTCCGCATCTGTGACAGTTTCGGATTACATGGGTTCAGATTGCACGGTACGATGACCAAATTCCGTTATCTTGTTATTACAGTAGCGCTAAGCGTTTCTGTAAAGTTTACACACTATCGCCCGCGTCTCCAGGCTGCGCGTCGCTGGACGAATTTCCTGCCTTCAACGCAGTAGATTCTGAGCGAGCGCAGCGGGTACGGAATTGAAGAGGTTGTTTTTGAACGTCACACTTCGACGTAGTGAATCATGCTCATTTCAAGTAAAGGGGCGTTCTGGTCTATACTCACCTTAGCTTAGTCATAACAACCATTCTGCAAAGGTTTGTCTGCTTTCTAGCTTGCGCGCGGGACTAGGGAATGTGCGTTAATCAATCGCCATGGTCGCTGTGCATCAGCTAATTAGTCAGCAGAACTTGGATGTGTGCGGCTAATCACTGCTAAGTTTTCGGGGATATTACAATCCACTCGTCTGTCTACCATACGCGAGGGACACAGTTCACGAGAGCAGTTTACGCGTGGATTTAGATTATCTATGAGCGAACCTTGGCGCGTCATGACACCAAATCGGTTACTGGCGTGTTATTCAAAACAAGGATTGACGGATCTATTCCTGATCGACGGCGAGACTTGTGGAACCGCAACCTGCACTTTGTGAATGATTTCATCGCCCATGGTCTTCTGAAATTCCTGTCGGATTCGGTTTCTGCAGTTGAATATGTCGCAAACTACGAAGTGAAACTGCCAATTTCGTGCGAGAATCGTTCATATTTTTGTGTGATCGACCCATCATGTTTGGTTCGCAGCGACTGGTTCAACCCCGGTAGTATTCGAACACGTGCTCCTTTTGAATACACGCATCTTAGGTGAATTTCAAGGGTAGGAAACGACCGAGGGATGTCCACAAAAGTAAACAACACGCACTACGTGCTGGTTCAAGGCAGCGCTCATAAGTAATATCTACGCTCAGGCATAAATCTGAATGTCATTTTAATATCCGTAGGTTATGTTATTTCACAGTCAACTAAATGGGCCAATACCACTGGATTCCCTAAGTTAAGAACCTGTGCCATGGGGTGAACCACTGCAGTGTGAGATGAGAATTCGATGATTAGAACCATTCCGGTTAAAGCGGATATTTGGAGCTATAATACGGATCTATACGTATGAGGAGCATAAACAATGAAAAACTATGATGAAAATATAACACAACGTATGTAATACTGATTTGTGCAGCATCATTTGAACTTAGGAATTCTGCCTGAGTTCCAGATTTGTTCCGAGATGATAGACAGTAAAAATGATTCCGCATGCGATGGGCATAGCACCAGGAGAAAAACCCGGTTAACTGTGTTGTAACTTAAACATTGCCAGCGATCAGTTAGCATTGACACGTAATTCAAGTGGCACAAGTCTGAAAAGATGCTAAACGGAGCACCAACAAGATATGTCCTACTAAAGGTGGTTTTTCCGTGATGAACTCGGTAAGCACCTGAAGGAATACCACAGGAGGGAAATTAGAACACAGGTTGCTGATGACACGGTGATAGCCGAGAAACAATCGATCTCCAGACACTTCACCCGGCTTTGCAACACGCAGGTTTAGAAGTCATGTGAAGGCTCGGAATGATTGAAGTGGAAATACCATTTCAACTATGGCATGATCAATATGAGGTATCCAAGCAAGCCGGTTATCGCATCAAGCGATATAAAATAGCGTTTGTTGTGAGAAAGCAGCTGGGAGGATACATTTCAGTCAATTAAACGTATCACTTTGCCTACCACACAGCTCCCTCTATGGGCTACAGTCATTAGCTTTTGTGCTTACGGCTAGGAAAAACGTACAAAAAAAGATATGGAGCACATAGTGCAAGATCAACGCGGTAGTGATGGCTTAAAAACCATCTCAACTACACATACCTTTGATCCGCGCTCGTTGAATATGATTTCCACGTCCAGGATAGTTCCAAACGGCTGAAATCAGGAAATGACTACGATGGATTAAGGGGATGCGGCAAAAGAGAAACGAGTTAACAAAGAAAGCTGGGAGCTGCTTTGGTACTGATGAAAGAGTATGAATTGCATAGTCACCGAGCTGGTTAAATTGCTAAAGCGAAAGGACGAACCGGCCGTATAGCTTTTCCCTCATGTGATGGCTTCCTGAGTCGAATGTGGTGAATTACTCCTACTACTTCTACTCCTAGTAGTAGTATGATAAACAGGATGATACCAGGGAAGGCTATCAACGTGCCTGGTGCCTGGAGCCTTATTAAAAAACTAATACACAAGTGATCCTCAGCCTAAAAGGATTTGACAGCGGATATTGAAAGTATCGAAAAAGCTTGTTCTATCAAATCGTAACAGGGCACAGAACTCACTCCAAGCAACTGTCTGAGGTCAGCTTCGCGAAATCGGAACGGGATGTTGGATACATGTAGTCGTTTCGGTCCAACACTGAGCAGATTCGCCGCAGACGCCACTCCGTTACTTGTCATTGTGGACACACAGGACGTGACGGTGTTCGACTGACAAGTCAAACTTCCGTTTTTCGCATCATCGTGTCCAACATGCATGGTTGCCAAACTGTCGGATGGAGTTTGACTCAATAAGCCTGTCGGGGAAGCCATGAGAGGACCGGTGGTTTGGAGGTACAAGGGTCTCGAAATGGCAGCATCCACGGATGGGATTGTGGTTGAGCCTACTCCAGGCATTAGCGAGTCAGTGATGTGGGTGTCATAGGCCGTGCCCATCAAGTGGCTGATGGAAATGGGACCAGAGGTTCCGTTTGCGTTGGCCGACGCGAGTGTGGCATCCATGGAAGCAAACTGCTGCATTCATAGAGGATAGAAAGGCGTAAAACTCGTGTAACTAGGTCACCACGTCTTGTGGTTGCTTTTGTTATAACAGACATCGTGTAATCAGAACTCGTACAGTTCCTTTCATATCTAGTCAAATAGCAGTTAACTAGCTGAGTTTGGCTTCTATTTTCCAGTGATTAGTGAGTCCACAATTCTGTCGAGACAGAGGATGGTTGTCAAAGCGTTTGGTAGAAGTTCATAACGAGTACACAAGTCACTAGGAGGTAGAACTGCGGTGGCTACCTATTACATATTTGACCAGTACTGGTGCTGGGTAGAACCTTCTATTCGCATCCTTATCCTCGTTTGCTGCCCCGGTTGAATAGTAGTTTTAGTTGGAACCGCAACCTTGTGCATAAGATCACAGTAGACGAACAGATTAGAAGCGAACAATAACTACTGCATATAATGGAAATCCGGATGTTGATGGTGGCATTATGTCGACGACAGCAACAACAACTAAATGAAATCCCATCTGTTGGAAGTCATACTAGCAAATAACCACCCTGCCGAGACCGCTGAATAGACAAGATTGCACAAGAGTAAAAAGAAGGAGAATGGTTGCAGCCAAGGGTTCACATTCTGGCTTAATCCATGCGCCTGTGCTACAATGGAACACTAATATGTTACGTGTAAAAAGCTATGTTAAACAGGTCCCGTGAAGTGGAAAGAATTTAGGAAAGAAGACATTATTATAAACTAAAAACATTCTGATGGACACACACTAGTGCTCACAATGTGACGTGTGTAAAAGAGCCGATATCCTCACAAGCCAATACATGTAAGTTTGTCTAGTCGGGTTTGTGAACACATCGTTCGGTTGCGTTATGTAATCTCCTGGATAACACAAGCTGTAAAACGAACTGTGAATAAGACAACGCCTCGTCAAGTCGTTCTCGGAATATACTTAGGTTGGAGCAGCGACAAGTTGCGAGTGCATTCGAAGCCTGGCACATTCGAAGGGAGGAGAAATGTCGACGGCAGTCTAGACGACTATGCTGTATTGTCAACTTTTCCTGGTGATCACTCAGGTTGCCGTCAGCATCTGGCAGCAAATGTAGTCTGGGTTCTTCAGAAACTGGTAAGCGATTATGATGTCCCCTGCAAACTTCGATATCGACTGCTGTACCTACGTAGGAACTTGCATTGAAGCTTTTAGGGTAGATGGAAGAAAGACCTACTGTTCTTGGACGTCCTCCGTTGAGAAGGCTCTAGTACAACAAAATCTGGCTTCCGCCATGTGTGCCACGCCTGGATAGTATATGCCATTTGCGGTCATACGTTGGTGTTAAACGTTTGGGGGAAGATTGAGGGGTTAAACCGACCGAACACACTGTCAAAAGACTGATGTGTTGAGTACCGGTTCTCAACATCTTCCTGGCTATTTTTGAGCAGCCGACATCGTCCTGAACCAGTATCCCAAGGTCGCGCTCCTGAGTGGCATTCTGTATTCTGAAAATCTTTAGATGATAAAAGGGCTTGTCATCACCTGCTTGAGTTGCAAACGTAGTTGATAGATCAGTCTTGATTGTAAACGGTTGAAATGGTAATCGAGTCTCTATCCATTCAAATCAGACACTTGAATTACTGACTCCAGGAAACAGATAGCCTCTGCTTATTTTTACAGTGTGCAGTCTTAGTGAGAGTTCCAGGTTTCAGTGGGTGTACGAAACGAGTATTTCCTGAACTAAAATGAGTAAGTGACCAGTAGACCAGGGTCCGTTTAATCCAGCTACTCACAGAGCGCATATTATCTCGATTTTAATTGTAGCTAAAGTACTACAGCACAGACATGACTCAGGAATGCGTGAACCGATTCCGAAACAATTGTGGCTCCCACTAGCATGTCTGACGGGTAAAACCTTTCTGATTTAAGCTACATACTTGAATGATGGGTAACGTGCGAAAGCAGAGCGGCACGCGTTGAAGTGACGAAACCTGGCGTCAGGAAGTTATGGGTCTAGCTAGGAGCTAACTGTGGAGAACAAACGACAATTCGGTTGACGCAAACGGCTTTCCTTAAGAGAACGATTGAGTAATGAAGGTCTCGGGCTGCGTCGTGATGTGGAAACCATCATTGCCGTTACATTAATCTAAGATGTTGGCGTCCGGTGGGTCGACATCATCATCCTCTGACTCCAGCGTCTATTATCAGTCAAGGTCATCCGATCTATCATCATCCCTGTGGTCCATATTACTGCATTCGCTATTCTACCCAACCACCTGAATGCTTGACATTTCATAATCCTTAGCTTTACCTAGTGACTGGTGAGCGTAATGTGAGATGCATAAACGTAGATAACATTAACATTACACCAACAATTCGTACTGGTGCCTCGCTTACATGTATTCGCTAGCGGTTTTAGGCGGGCTGGGATACCGCAAGCGCATCAAGATTGATTCAGGAGATGAATTGAACCAGTAGCGAAGGAAAACAAATCAAAGGCTACACCGATGACAACCCTGTGAATGTACAAAGCACCCAGACTGCGTTATTGAGACACAACTTACAATGTGAATAGTGGAGCATAGGATCATTCGTATTTTTAACGCTTAAGCCTCAATTGGAGAGTGTGTCTTGATGAAAGCGGATGAAGCCAGACGTTTATGGAGCCATGCACCTCTACGAAAGACTGGAACTTCGGTATACAAGCCTTGAGACATAATAATAATGATAATAATAATAATAATGTATCAGCTGCACTCCGTAACGGAGCTTCGCTGTCGCGCAGCCACCACCAGTCCGGGGAGGGCTGAGTATACCGCGAGGACGCCTACCCCTACGCGGATTCGAACCGGTGACCTTACGGTTGCAAATCAAAGCGCAGACCACTCGGCCACCACCACTCGGCCTTGAGACATAGGGGAAGAGCAAGTCCTTCTTGTGTTTCTATCACACCATTTGCTCACACCTTCCTTGCTTTGTACTGGTGCAGCTCATCTGCCGCCTACTTTGGAAAAGCTGGTGATTTAACTACGTACCCTAGACATGTTAGCCGGTATTACTCGGCTGCAAATGAATTTTCAGTATCTCAAACAGTTCCATCGTAGCCACACGCAATCACCTAGAGATCACCGTTGAGGAAAGCGTTTGACGGCTGTTGAGTCATAGAGGAAACCAACAGCCGTGAGTATTTGCCATCATGCGTTAGAGTTGTCAACCTGTAGCACTGCGCTAGTGATGATCGTTACGGCCTACGTGACTGTTATTAGCTATGTTATAGTGTGTGTCAACATTCGCTGCGGTGCAGGCGACAGGATTGGTATCCTGACTCACTGACCGCCTGAAGTTAAACCACCGCTATCCATTTTGTAGCAATGCATGATGCTCCCACGATTATTACTGGTCAGTAATCACTATGGAATCTAACGATCTTCAAGTTGATCAACAGCAGTTATGGCTCTGCAGGCATTTGGGAAAAACATATGAACACTTTGTTTGCGAGGTACGCACGAATCAGAGTACAGGAAAGTAATCAGGCTTAATTGTTTTATATAGGAGCTAACTTGATGTTGGTTCTGAAGACTTACTACCGAATGAGTTACGACACCATTCAGGGCTCCCTGTTCAAATATGGGTATAACAGTACACGTCTATGCCCTAGCTTGTTAAACTCCCCACCCTGTGCACTGACATCTGAGGATTGTATCCATGGACCCGGAATCTCCATGATAGTTCATGGATAAGGCGATATACTGTGATGGGGAAGGCACGTCCACACAAAATCGCAAAAGCCGATTGTAAGTAAGTAACGTCGCCCATCACTCACATGTGACACACACACACACACACTCTATGTGAATTCGCACATCCCTACATGCCTCTGTGTCCTTACATTTGATTGCGCAGACTTCTAAGTGGAAATTCACGTACGTCGCCAGCCTGGACATATACTAAAGGCCATGCAACATTACACCCGCTTTTGTCGGATCACAAAATCACTCTACAGAAGACCAGTCTTTTGCTTTGCTTTGGGTGCATAGCGTACCCTTGGGAAATAGTTCCGACAAGACCGTGCTGCTAGCTTCGGAGGTAGAAGTCGTGGAGACCGCGATGTTCGTCCCGACCAAGTGAGCCATTACAACGATGCAGTTGTGGTCAGTATTAATGATACCTTCAGCTGGAGAGTACCTGTCATTGTGCTTCAAAACACGAAATCAGCTTCTAACCACATTGTCGAGCACTAACCACGGAGTTCAATGTCCTAGCGATCATTGTGATAGCCACCAAGTAATATGTGCCGAGTTCCACTCCCAGCTCAGCTTAACTTTACCAGAAAAGTCCAAACCAGGACGAAACCGTCGGTCGTGGAGTGTAAGGATGGGGGAAATCAAAACGGAAATCCCCCAGCTCGTTATTATGCTGCCAACCCTTTAAAAAGTTGTATGTTGCACTGGCGTACTCACGCGTGTTATACTAGTGACATGATCAGTCATGCATGGGGAAGGAAAGGTCAGGAAAACGGCTATTCACGTCGTAGTTATGGTACGAGTATATCGACACGGTAGACACGACAAAACCGTGCCTTGTGAACATGGAAAGGTGAATCTTCTGTTGCATCACCTAAGTCTTCAGTTGTTAAAGCAAACGTACAAAAGGTTAATACTAGTTAAAACCACGCAGTAAGTAATCACGGACAAAAATCATGGTAATGTTTTGCTCCACCCATTAGTTTCTGAGTGATAAAGTTCCGGTTTAGTAAGAACATACCACTTGAACCATGGCCTATTGACTCGGGCCTTCCTACGGCACACTCATGCTGTGATTTCTTCTGCTTAAATAAGAGATAACATTCAGTTGCTCATTTGTTCGCCGAGCTGCGAAATTTGTTTGCAAACGTTTCACCGTCATGCGAGACGACATCATCAGTGCGTCGAGATGTGGGGTGTAATCTCGCTGATTGCATTGTCGACCCGTGATCGGCGTGCAGGTGACATTTCGAAAGTGACGGCTTCGATCTGTGTCC